TCAACTCATGAATTTACAAAACAGAGAACACAGGCCCAACAGGCAGTGGAGGAAGCTGCCCTGTCCCTTTGGTCCCAAGGAACTGCGCACAGATGTGGGTGTGGGTGTGAGTGGGTGTGAATGTGGGTGTGAGTGTGGGTGTGAGTGTGTGTATGGGTGTGTGGTTGTGTGTGTGGGGGTGTGGGAGTGGGTGTGAGTATGTGAGTGGGTGTGGGTGTGAGTGTGGGTGTGAGTGTGGGTGTGAGAGTGTGTGTGTGGGTGTGTGAGTGTGTGTGAGTGTGGGTGTGAGTGGCCCTGGGTGTGCGTGTCCCACTCACTGCTTTGGGGGGCGAGCCTTCCCTCTTGCTTGAGAGGCACCACGCCATTTTTAGTACTTGCAATGTCCGCCCTCCTCACGGAATCTCTAGAAGGTAAACTCCTGGACCCCGATTTTCCTGGGAAAGTTTTCCTGTTTCAATAAAACATGTCAGCGGTTTCACTGTTACTCACCTCTGACTGGAATATTCTTCAGGTTCAGAGACAATGCCAACCTTCGCCCCTCACCCCTACATGAACAGAACGATTCCTCTGTTTGAAATATGCCAGCGTAAGTTAAATTTTGAGGTAGCTGAGGGTTCTGGAGACAGAAGGAGGGGATTCCAGCTCCACAGCGCTCTGAGCTTGAAGTGACTTCAAGTGTCTGGGATCCCCGCCCGTAACCCGCCCATGGGGACAGTCCTGCCATGACATGTGCGAGGACAAGATGAGCTAATGCATGTAACGTGCAAGGCACCTCCTGACACGGTGTGAAAGGGACAGTGTCTCAGTATAATTATTTTTGTTACTGCAGGTTTGTGGTTTAAAAACTTCTGAGAAAAAAAATTAAAGTACTCTAAAGATGTTACAGGGTGTCCCCTTCATCTGAAAGAGGACCAGGGGAGACAGGGGTCCCCATGCAGACCCAGACTGAGGACCAGTTCAGGTGACACCTCTGCTGACAATGCAGGAGTCTCGTGTCCGAGGACGACATGTGTTCATGTCCACTCTTTTTATACATTGCTTCATGACGTTACAGTTTCTAAAGCACATGAGAACTTTTCTATTATTTTGAAGACAACCCACGCAGCTGCCAGCCAGCCCTAGAGGCAAATTGTGGTATTTGTGCGAGTTAAGAAACAAGAATTACTGAAACGTTCGCCCTGCCCAAAAAGTCAACGAGAACAGTGGCGAGTCCTGAAAGAATGTGGCTTCCGCCACTGCCAACGCACACGGGGAAGCCCACCGGGGCTGCTGTCCTGAGTCTGCCGGAACCTGCGGCTCCCACTTGTCATGGGAAACAGACACGGTTCCCGAGGTCAGGTCATGGTTGCGGCACGCTGAGCTAACGTACGTCGGCACCCTTGAACATTTACGACATATAAGCACTCTGGGTGTTTTTGCTGGATGGAAAGAGAAATTGACAAAGCTGAGGGGTGGGAAAGCCATTAAAATCTGCTCCTTCTCCTCATAATCCAATTTAAAGCCACTCGTTCTGAATATATGCTCAATTATGAATGAACACGACTTTTAAAATGTCGCATCCTGGTCCACTAAGCAGGCGCCCAGCTGGTGGGAGCCCTGAGCTTCCAGACTGATTGTATGAAGTCGGGCACAGGGGTGTGGGGTGCGCTCCCCACGGTATTTGCCAGGGAGGGCTGGGCTGTGGCGGAAAGCACGGAGAGATGGGGGTCGGTTAAGGCAGCCCTGCAGGACCAACCATTCAATCAGACGGACTGCCGACAGTTACTCAGCAAATGCACCGATCAGGACGTCACCAAGCGGAGGCTCCTTAGGCTTTTGACACCGTGTGGCATGACGCCCTTGCATGTGACGGGCAGCAGGGTGGAATGACAGATAAACAGGCTCCTTGGGGCCTGAGAAGGGAGTGGAACTCGCAGCAGGACAAGCAGGTGTGGGACGAGATATTACAGCAGAGACGCGGGGACACGGTGCCAGGAGGAGCGGGCGGACTGCTTCCAGCCTGTGCTCAAGGATGGCACCCCGACTGACTGAGCTAAGGAGGATGTTGTCATTGTCACCTCCATTCACACTATCACAAACTGACAGAGCGATCTAATTATAAATCCATCTCAGCCGCCGCCTGAAATCTGTACCGTCAAGTGCTAATTACTTCCTCCTGAAAAGAAGTAACGGGATCTTTTTTAAGGAAATCACTGACAAGCGAGTGTGCAGGCGCTAACTGACCGCCCGTTCTCTCCGAGCCGGAGGGAAGTACTCACATGCCTTCCGCAAAGCACTCGAGCAGCAGGGTGTCCCCTCTGAGGATGGTGACCGAGGACTCGGGCCCTCTGTCCACAGGAGGCAGCAGCAGCCGGGGTTTTCTCTGCTTGATCGAGTTTGCTAAACGGAAAAGAAAAATCTCATGTTTTTCCACAATCTAAGAGGCTTAAAGGCTTGTGGTACTAAATCTGTCTTAAGACATCTTAAAGGCAGGGACCTATGCATATATTTACATACAGAGAGACACACAGACACATTTCACATATTTGAATGTATTTCCATTTAAATAGACTCTACTCTTACCCATGCAGCATGGGCTGTCTCTCACACGTGTTAAAAGGTGTAGTGCCAAGGTTTATGAAGCTTTCGATTACCAAATCTTCAAATTCAGAAGGGCAAACACGGTCCAAGAGAATGTGTTTCCTGATGAAAGGGCTTCAGGTAACTGACAGTGTAGGGTTTTACGTTCTCTGCCTTAGCCCTAGCCCGTCCTGCCTGGGGCTGTGTGTGCGTCTGTCTCTCCTTTAAGGCTCCTAAGTACCGGACAGGGTCCCTGTCACAACACAGCTTCCTGGGCCCTGCACGCACAGGCCCTGCTTTGGGAAGTGACCGTATCAGACTGTTGAGGGGATGGTGCTCTGGGTCCCAGGCTCCCAGGCTCAGAGGGAACGGTGTCCGTCGGAGAGACCCGTCAGCGCCACACGGCCCGTCTCAGAGACAGCGGAGAATAAGGACGCCCCCCTGTCAGCGCAACTGCTAATGTCCAGATGCTAAAAGGCATTCTCTCCCACTCGGTGTCAAGGTGGTGTGACCTGATGTGGACAGAGAGAGCTGACGCCCGGCTGTCAGTAAAGGGATGGCAGGCTGGCTGCTTTCCAGGAGCGCGCTGATCGAGAAGGAATCGGTGACCAGGTACTACTGTATGTATAATCTAATTAAACTATAATTATGTGATATAATTAACATCCCATATTATATCAATATGGTACATGTAAATAATATTAATATATTACATAAATATAATTAAATTTTAAATGATTATTTTTATTGAGTGCTATAAAGACAACACTTGTGTTTGCGTTACTGACATCAAAGAAAACAATGTTAGGTACTTCATTGGCCTGCCTGCACCCTGGGGGTGCTGAGCGGGGCCCCACTCGGCCTTGCTGACGCTGCCAGTGAATTACACGTGGAAGCGAGGCCGCTGGTCCACACGACAAAGAAGACGTGCTGCACTCACGTAAATGGTTTTTCTCGTTATGGACAATGAGCTTACTGTACACACACCTCAGGTGTATGTATTCAAGTCTTGTCCATAGAACACCAGCTGTGCCAGACGTTCCGTGGAAAAAATAGAAACTATTTTCTAGACAATGAGTTTGGAAAATGCTCTAAACTGTATTCTTTCTCAGAGAGTTACAATGGACACTTCTTTTTTAAGTGTTCTGAGAAGTCTTGCAAGAAAACTGACCTTTTAACTTTCTTAAACCCAATGTTTTCTCTGCTTCTGTTGACACGCAACCATTTTTTTCCCCTTTCTGCATGTCACAACTATCATCCAAAATGTCTATGGACAATGAGAGACATTTTGGGAGACCCAAAATAATTACTTCATTTAAAATATACAGTTATATGTTTGTGTGTGTTTGAATATGTTAGTTGTATTATATATAAATCTATAGCTACATTTAAATAGTTATGCATTTATAAAAATCACTACTTTGCATATATTTAGGGGGGAAGGGGTAATACAGTCCTCTAGGCTAAGGAATTTTCCGTGACAGGAATATTAGTATTTTAATAAACTTACAAAGGTGTTAAAAGAAAAATTCAAGTTTTGAGATGGCAATGAGCTACTAAAAATGAAAACAAATGCCAACGCTCTACATGTGATCAACTTACCCTTGAAATCAATGTCTGTGGATGAACTCGAGTCATTAGCATGCTTTACTGAAATAAACAAATGGAAGGAAAAAACTCACAAAGAAATGATAGATGCTGATACCATTAAAGAATGAAAAGCCACAGTCTTCTCAGAAAAATTACAAAAAGAGGCATAACTGTGCTTCACTAGAACACCGTCTCTGGGGATGCGGGCGAAAACTACTTAAACTTGAACTAGCACAGATGGGTCCAATTGGAGACGGAGGAATCACAGCCCCATGGAGGTGCCAGCGAGGCTGGAGTGGACCTGGCTCAGGTGGCACACGCACAATGGCAACACCACATGCCAGCTTGGACAGTGGGACGGTAATGCCACGTTCACCTCTGCCAGAGCCGGTCATGTCTGCCCTTGAATCTCAGGGTCCTTTCTCCCCCTGACGGTTCCCCGCTTGGGAACCCGGCCTGGCCCCTGCAGAATCGAGTGGGGAGAGAAGCAATTCAAATAGTTTTGTCTTTTGGGAAAAGACAACAAAGCTTGATGGGATACAAACTGTGCTATTGCTTCTTTTTATTTTTGACTGTGATTTTTCTCCCCCATTTCCAGCCTGCTGGCTTCTCGAGGACCCCGGTGAATGGAAGCCTGAGGCTGGCTTGGGAAACCCTGGAATATCGTTGTGCATTTCGCCCACTGAAAATGGCCAGATCTGCAGACTTCAAATGAAATGCACTCGACTCATGTGACCTGTGAGTACGCAGGCTGTGATGGGCAGATGCCTGCGATCGGCAGCGGCAGACATCTCTCCTCTGGGGGAGGGCGCTGGAGTTGAACTACACAAGGGTGGAAAATATCATCCCAGCTTCCGCCGGCTCTGGCCCCATGAAATGAGAGACAAGACTGCATTTGTTCAGCCCTCAGACGGGACTGCACCTCCTCTGGACTTACAGCTGTTGACCGTCAGCTTCATGGGCATCTTCTGCACGATGGTCCGCAGCCTCGGGAAGGCGGCGAAGCAGCAATAGTCGCTGCGACTGTCTCTCTCTTCCACGTTGGCGAAGTACAGGTCTCCTTCTTGGCTCATGTACACTCGCTCGTCCTGTTCGATGTGCTCTAACTCTGGAAAGAAAACCCGCGCCGTGAAAATAGGCAACTGGCCCCGACTGTGTCTCATCTCCCTTTCACAGCTTCCCTTTTACATCACTTTATTTCATTTTTCATGTCCCTTCTTCCGAGGCCTCTCAAGTCTGGTCTTGCTATAGGAGCAGTGAGTGGGCCAAAGGTGAGAAACCAAAGACCACGGCGAACCCCTGGGAGCACGGTTCTCACCACCGCCCGGAAGACGTCCCCGGTGGTGACAGCTCCGCGCCCTCCGGCTGCCCTGGGCCTCCAGCCTCCGCGCCACTCTGCACTCTGCACTGGCTTCTCGGAAAACTGGCCCAATTCAGATAATGGCCTACTTAGAACTTCCACTTTCTTAGGCTATTTCTTATAAACAGAGCTCCCCAAATATTGTCTCTGAGGTATTAGTCTCTCTTTCCCGGATGCAGCCTGGAAAGCTGTAGGGTGATGAGTCCAGAGTGCTTGGCTGCTGGCAAGAGTAACTGACTCCCTTTGCTGTCTTCCAAGCACTGTCCTAAACTAAGGTTCCCGTTGTCCTCCGGGGGCCATCGGGGGGCACACTTAGGGAGCACTGCTAAGGCTCACGCCAGAGTGGACTTGACAACAAGCTGGGTTTCAGCTCAAGAGCTAGTGAACGTTTTGGCAAATGAAACATGTTAATACCAACTTCTCTGTGCGTCACTGTATGCAGTGGGTGCCACGTTACCAAACAGAATCTAACGCTAGTGACACAGACACACACCACACTGCACTGTGATGCGGACACTATCCCAAAGCGAAGTAAGCGGTTTGGAACTCAGGAAACATTTTCTTCACAGACGTGCGTTATGCTATCAATGGCCTCCGCTCTTTTCACGTGTGACAAAATTAAGATATAGTTATCTCTTAATTGGTTTTCTAGTGTTTTCATGTACACCCTTAAGTGTATATTTAAAACTTGGAGCAGACACGGGTGGGTATAGTTTTAAAAATCTATTGGATTCCACATCGATAACCTCATATTATTTTTCATCTTTGGTTCCATTAGGTTACCTGACATGACGCTTGAAATCAAAACAGAGCGTACTTACCGATATTCATCCAGTAAATGTGTAAAGGTGGAAGGCCTGTGGGGGGGTTGCAAGGGAGGACGATGGGGTCTCCCTCCTCCACTTCCAGGGGCTCGATTTTTTCTTTTGGGAATTTTGGAACATCTGGTATAAGAAATCATTTTAAGACATTATTTCAAAATTAACTTTTAATGTCACAAGTAATATCTTAATGCATTGATCTTTTTTTTTAAAATTAGAGAATTTTTAATAAATTCAAGATCCCAAACCTTGGTTCTCATATCGCCCCTGCAGAGGAAAATACTAGGAACCTGAGGTTTAAAAATAGTTGTGCATGTTCTAGCTAGACACCAAATATTTTTGCGGTGACATCGATAAAGCGATATTATGCTCGTGCAGATTTCCCCATACAGAGCTGCGAGGTCTGGGTTGCAGGACTCGCTCACTCAAAGGTTTGGCAGATGCGGCATCCTTTTCTCTGAACACTGTGGCTGCTTTTTAGGTGGGTACGTATTCTCTCTCTCTCTCACTTTATTGTGAAGCTTTTGAATGTGACTGGTAAATATTCCATTGAGAGCAAAACCAAACTAAATAAAAAGTTCAAGTCCTACACGGGAAAACGGTATGGGTGCAATGCCAAGCCAAACATGACCACATGAGTCACAGAGAGCCACACAGCCTGGGGTCGCTCCTAGCAAATGAAACGTAAAGTGACACGAAATTGATGTAGGAAAGGAGACTTTGCAATATTTCAATGTACTGACTTTTCCCCCCATGTTGGAACTGATTTCCTAGAAAGCAAGGCAGTTAAAATGGGAATAAAAGTCATGACTGTGCAGAATTTGAAATCCAACACCAATGCTTGATATTCCTAAGGAAGTATTTATAAAATAGCTTTAAGAATATTCAAAATGTGTCCTCTCTGAACATTGCATTGGTTTTCAACTCTGTTAAGAGAATTCGCATTACCAGAGCTACTTACGGAAGACAAGGACCCAGGAGCACTACAACGTAAATGGCTGATGGAACTCATTATGCGGTTCCCAGCTCTGTGTTTCAGTCTTAGATTGCAGTTTACAAAAAATTGCCATTATTCTCAGAAGTCTGAAGACATACTCCTTTATCGCCAGTTTTCTCCTTGGGAAGCTTCGTGCATTTCCTAGGTATTAACACTTGTGACCTCGCCCCACACCCGCACACCAACTGAGGGGTCTGATGGCACTCCTCTCACTGATGCACCAACTGCTTCAATGAATTGCTTTTAGTCTAAAGTCAAGGTCCTTTCAGGCTTACAGTGCCTTTGCCAGTTTGGAAGACAGGCTTCGGTCACGTACCGTCCTCAGTGGGTTCCCTCCCTCTCGGCCAGGTCATTCTAGCAGGGTCCTCCTGGCAAGTCTGCCAACGCAGCTGAAATGCAGCCACCTTGGAATCACGTTTGGCTCCAGGTGCCCACAGCTTCCATCCAAAGGCAGGAAGGCATGTCTGGTGTATTCGCTATGTTAAGATCTTGTAGATACATATGAGTGCCACCTACTTGGTGAAGCCTTAGCTGTGACAGAGTCAATGTCACACGAGTCACTTGCAGAAAGTAGACCTCATGCTAGTGACATGCAGTAACTTACAAACCCTGTGCCTGCAGCTCCCAATTCAATCCTGTGTTTAGTGTAACTTGCTACACCTGAAGCCTGGGGCTCACTGGTACTGATGCCACCAGTGTCACTGGGCAGTTATTGGGTCTGTTTCTACTCAGAAGCAAGGGGCAACAGAGGGGGGAAACACAGGCTCGAAAACGCGAGGGGCACGTAACCCTGACTCTAACAAGCACGCTGTACAGTGCCCACGCGCGTACACAGTCCCGGCGGCGACCTGCTGTGAAGCAGCTAACGGATAAGGTGCACAAGCCCTAACTGGAGAGCTGCCCCATACAAACATTCGGAAAAATCTAATGATTCCAGCAGACAGTCCTGCCAGTGATTAATTAAATCGAGATGATACAATTCCACTTCGGAAAATGTAAATATGTAATTCAATTGGCTTCCAAGGCAATGATAATAAAATAAAATGTCTAACCCTAACAAACCCTTGCTCACATGCCATAAATCTTTGGGACAGCTTTTAGCCAAAGATGAAATTAGTATCTGGAAACAGAATATTTATATTTATATATGTAATAATTTCAGGTCTAAGAATAGATGTATAAAGGACTTGTCAGGTGTTTTTTAGGTCTATTTCTTTGACTTTGAAACTGTTTAGTGAGTCTGACGCCATACTAGAAAGAAAACATTTAACTTCCACAGATAAACATGAAATTTAATTACTACAACTCAACAGCAGGCACCTTAATCAAAATAAAGACACGACTCCGTTTAAAATAACTCCCGCCGATGACGTCTGCTAACTGTGTCTCTCTCGTGACGAGCATCAGCGCTGTGAGTCAGGTCACACGTGGCACCTCATCAAGTGAAGTGTAAACCATCATTTCTCTTTTCTGCCAGGCAACCGCACCGCCTTGGCTTGCCAGCTTCGTTCCAATGGGCACCATCGACACCCAGACCAGCACCACTGAATCACGTTTCAGCGAGACTGGACTTGACCATGGACTGGCTCTGTGCACAGGGACACTGTACACAGCGCCTACCTGCGCAGGACTTCAGAGTGTTTGGGAATCCCAGAAACAAGTCCGATGAAGTCAGTTTCCTTTGTATGGAATGTCCCTCCGGTCACCTGCACCAGAAGCCAAGCCTACACGGACGCATCTCCGTTCTGTCCTCCACATTTATTATCCAATGTAGCAGACACATTTCTAGTAAGAAGGCCAAGGGGGCAGGTTCCTGATAGCCCGGCCAGGAGCCAGCGTGAAATAACTTTCCTAGAGATCAGGTAGCCGCTTACTATGACAGCGACGAGCCTCCTTGGAGCGCCCGACGCACCGCAAACCTGAAAACACAGGACTTCCAGGCTCTCCACCTGAGGTGCTGACAGTGACGTCTGAAACACATCATCACTCGTCTCTACCTAATGCAATGAAAAAATAACACCTCTGTCCTGAAATGTAGAAGACTTGTGAAAAACCATCTTATGTCTGCAGGGTGTACGACAGGCTAAGTGCCCTGGGCTCCACCCGGGCAGTGACGCTCCCTGGCCGTGCTGCGTCAGGCGATGGCTCACCTTCCTGTGCCCGCCTGACTTCTGCCTGGCTTTCCAGAATCCTCTGGCTTCATCTCTCTGGGACCCTCAGAAGTGTCACCAGAAGTTTCTCAAGGGCAGGACGTCATAAACCCTAAGCGGTACAGTCCCCCCACGCCGACGTGCTGCACACACAGCAAAGGGGGCTCACGACGTGGCATCAGGGCGGCTTAACCAAATCCTGACCGTGCGGAGCAACGGCGTCAGTGAAGAAGGGCCTGGCGCTGACCCACGACCAGGCCCTGGACCTCCCGGGTGACCTTCCCCGGCCCTCGGGAGACACAGCCAAGTCTCCACGTGTCCCCCCACCTCTGCGGAGTCTGACACCCACCGCAGGGCGTTCTCCACACAGAAGCACCGTGCTCCTGCCGCACCTGGACACCTGTTCCCTGAAGGACGAGGGAACGCCGGGTGCCACCGGTCATGCCCGGGCCCTCTGAAGCCAGCGGCCTGGGGCTGAACCCCAGCTTTGTCACTTACTATGCGACCTGAACCTGCCACTTAACGCGCTCCGGGGTCTTCACTCGTTCTTAATTCATTGATTTGTGTCAAAGTTTAAGTAAACCATTTCATATAAATAAATCCAAATCATGTCTGGCCTTCGCCACCGCTCCGCGCTGGCCGCTGCGACCCCTGCGACCCCGCGCTCTGCGTGGTGGCGGCCACACGTGCAGCCGCGGTGGACGCGGGGACAGGGGCCATCCAGGCGTCGCTCCTGGCTCCCCTGCGGCCACAGCCCCCACCGTCTGGACCGGCGCGCAGATGCCCGAGTTCCCTTTCTCAGGAGGGCAGGGGGGGCCGAGGGAGGCACAGGGCTCCCCGCGGCGCCCTCGGCTTGTTTAATGCACTGTCCCCGCCCTCCGGGACGGGCAGCCTTCCCGCGCCAGGCAGCTGCCTCGGCTCTGCTGCCGCTGCTCCCAGGCCCGGCCTGGCCGGGGCCGTGTCTGCGTCTGGTGGCGCTCTCCTGAGTGCAGGCTGCTGACCTCCCAGGCCGGGTCGCCCCCCTGCAGGCTCCGCTGTGGAGAGATTTAATTGATCCCCACTTCCTGTGGAGCGCCCCACTGACCCACTCAGGACGACGGAGCAGACACTGCCTTTCAGGCTACGTGACCGAGTTCCCAAGAAGGAACGACGCTCGGTCCACCCATTTCATTCTCCTCATTCACGTCCTCGATGGACGAGAGCAACATCATCGGCCTCAATCGCACCTTTAAAACCAAAGCCGCACTGACCTGGCCAAACTGGCCTTCTCTGGTTGGCTGCACAGGCGAGCAGAAGGATGTGCATGCGCAACAGCACCTTGCTTTGCACCCCCCCCAAACCACAGTGTCAGTAACCAAGCTATGTGGTCGGGACATTGTCCTGAGGAAGCAACACAGATCAGAAACCCAGCACACTGGAAATGCTCATCTGTTTCCATTAAAGCCGTCACATAGAGGACTTCCTCCCTAAGCCTGCCATTTCTTTGCATTATTATTTTATTCATTCTTTTATTCTTCAGCCTATGAACCAATAAATCAATCACTCAATCAATCACTGATAATATACATTCATGGGGCCCCTATAAGGCAACGCAGGAGGAGGAACAGGACGGCACGACACCCTTCTCATGTTTACGCATCCCAGTTAATAGACACAAGGATCAAAACACTCCCAAACAGTAAACAACTAAACGCTTTAAAAGCCCAGATAATTTACACAGGGACATTTCTAACAGCACTGTTTGTAACAGCCAAAAGTTGGACACAATCCAAACAGACATCGACTGGTGAGTGGATAAACAAAATGTGGCCCATCCAAACCACGGGGTGTTATTCAGCTGCAGAAAGGGACAACTGGTGACCAACGCTCCGATGAGTCACCAATACGTGTCACTACATGACTGGGCCGTCGGAGCATGCTAAGTTACGAACTACATGGAAAAGGTCACATACTGCATGATTCGTATTGCATGGACC